ACAATAATGACTTTTGTATGTAGGTATAAGACCTATATGTTGCTTTATCATGTCAATTCTGTCTGAATTTATTTTATTCGCAGGTATATGGCTTCCTCTTTTATCTTCTGTTGTTATACCGGAAAAGCTAGTTTTTGTAATAACATTTTCTATAAACTTATTCGACAAATCAAATGTTTTTTGAAAGCACTGTTTACAAACTTCAACGAGCTCACCTGCGATCTTGAAGTGATACTGATAGCTACAAGCTCTTGTTTTTGATGAATTAAGTTTCATTGTCTTTTTTTCCTGCCTCAAAATAAGACTTGAACAGTAAGCAACCCTTTTATTATAATCCCCTAACTCCCAAAATTCTGTAAATAACTGTTTACGTACTTCGGTATCAAATTTTTTACCGCATCCTTTTCGGCAATCTCCAAGTACCTTACATTTTTTGCCTTTCATCAACTTATTTTTTAGAGTCATGTATTCTTTACCTGCATTTCTTTCCATTTTTCTTTTTTTCCTCATTGCTCTAGTATCACCTTTTACCGATTTTCTTCCTTTTTTATTTTTATTCAATTGATTTGGATCTATTGTATTTTCAAACGAAACCAATGGAATACTATTCGAGTCATCTGATTCAGGAAGTTCATAATCTGGATCCTTGTCACTGTCGTCGATATCGCTTCCAAAGAACTCAGTAATCCTTTCACTAGGTGCATCTGCAAAAACATTTAGAATAAATTAATATTTGTTATTTTCTAAAATGTAACAAAACTGACCTCTGCTACAACCAGCTTCAGAAATATCAGCTTTACAAATATCAAAACGAGAATCGATATTTTCTTGTTTTTTTTTCCTGTTTTCTCGTTGTTCACATTCCAAATTCGAAAACATGGCTGTATCACTTTCTGGTGTAATGGACTGGTCAGTATTTACTTTGAGCTCAGCTGAAACAATAAGAAACATTGAAATATAATTTATTTTATAAAAAAAAATTCTAAAATTTCATTAATTTATTTATCATAATTTATTTTATAAAAAAAAATTCTAAAATTTCATTAACCCCCGACGAAATATGAGCTCAACGCCTTAATATATCTTCATAAATTATAGTTAAAAACCATCTAAATAATTTATTGTGCCGACATCAAACAAAAAAAAAACGTATCATAATTTGGTTCATTTATTGAGGAGCTACAATGCCACAGACAGACACACAAATACACAAACAAACAAATTATACCTAAGAGCTGTCTCGATTACGTCAGCGGCAGCTTTAAATAAAAAAACACATCTCGGCACAATCTTTGATGAGCTACGATGTCTTAGACACAGACACACACATATTAAACGTATAACTGGTAGTGATAACACTTCTGTTTTTGCGTCGGAGGTAAAAAATAGTTATTACTAATTTTAAACTAAAATAGTTTACTTACCTTCTGAATTTAATGCCCGTTCTTTCAGAGCGGCAAGAAATTCTCGTCTTTCTGCAAACATTTTTACTTATGATATTAATGATATTATTCTCTAATACGAGTAGTAGATCTCACAATATGTGCACGTCTCACCGTAAAGAACGCAAATGAAAACAAAATACCAATAAGCCACTCAATGTTATTCAGCTGCGAGTCGAAAACACGTGATGAGGTGATGCATCGTGTTTAGTGCAGATTTAGGCAAGTTCCGAAAAATTGGCGCATTGTAATACAACTAGACTTAACTCCATTTGCACTGACCGACATTATAGTGTCAACAGAGTCTATTTGACATAAATTCCTTTAACACATTTCAAAATGAGTTATCTTCGGTATCACTAATAAGTTTTGCTCGTAAACGTAAACAACAGAGATAAATCCTTTTGCACAATAAAATTTCGATCTAAAACGTGTTCATTTATGAAGTTATCTCGATTTGGACATTTTCAGACTTAACTCCGTTTGCACGCGCAAGAGCGATATTATCTTTTGTTTGCTTTTTCTCGTATATACACTCATAGACAAAAATATTTTGGAATTTTCAAATTTTTTTTTGAAAATAAATACTGGGCACTCAAGTCGTTTATTGTGAAAAAGAGTTTATTTTAACAATGTTAAATGCTGGGATAAATAAGATTTTTTTATTCTCAACTTAAATGCTAACTTAAATTGGTTAAACAAGTCTTTTTAATTGAAACAAGTGCATGTTCAGTAACGAGTATTCCTCCCTTTAGCATTTATTACTGCTTGCATCCTTCTTGGCATGCTTGCAAATAAATTTTGGACATTCCCTTGGGAAGTAGCATTCCATTCATCTTGTGCAGCAAACCAAAGCGGTTCTATCGTATTTTGAACGGGATTTCTTTGTCGTATGCGGCGTTTTAGCTGATCCCACATGTGTTCTATTGGATTTAAATCTGGACTAAATGGTGGCGAATTAAATCTTTGAATTTGGATCTCATAAAGATATTTACTTACTATGGCAGCAGCATGTGGTCGAACATTATCGTGCATTAACATGAATCTGTCACATCCAATGTAACCAACATATGGCAAAACATGATCTTGCAGAATATTTTGAACGTAAGTGTCACCAGTAATTCGTCCAATCACTTCCACATGTGAGGTGTGTCCCTCCGAACTAATACCTCCCCAAAGCATTATGCCACCACCTCCAAAACTAACGGTCTGGGTAAGATTGCAGATGGCGAATCGTTCTCCAACTCTTCTGTAGACGTGGTTTCGACCATCTGGCTTATATAATAGGATTCTGGTATCATCAGTGAAAAGAACATTTTTCCAGTTGTCGATAGTCCAATGAATATGTCTTCTTACAAATTCTAAACGACGAGCTTTATGATTTTGGAAAAGACGTGGAACTTTTGCAGGACGTCTAGGCTTTAAGTCTGCTTCTTTTAATCTTCGTCTAACTGTTCATCGATGTTAATCAGCGATTTCTTGTAGAATTAAGAACCAAAAAATGGTCATCAATTGCGGTTGTGCACCTTGGACGTCCTTGACCAGGGCTTCGTACAAAATTGCCTGTCTCATGGTATCTTTTTAAAATATTCGAAACTGTAGATTGACTTCTCCTGAGACGCCGTGCGATATTTTTTTGTGTATATCCTTCCTCGTACAAAATTATAATCTGTGCTGCTCGGGCTTCATCGCAGTGTCGAATAGGTGGCGTATTTGTTTTAAATTTACTTGAATCAAAACAATATTTAATTAAACTTAATAGATTAAACTAAAAATAACCGAATTACCATGATTTTTTACCTTTTTTTCTTTACGTAAAGAAGGTTTTTTATGATAAAATGCACGAATGACACTAAACGCCAAATAAACGTCAAAATATTTCAAACCAATTGAGTATATCAGCCTACTATATAAGTAAAATCAGTAATCTAAAATTATTTTGAATTAATAGTAACTACACAAAAAGAATTGAAAAATTTCAAAATATTCGATATTTTTGTCCATGAGTTTATTTCAACATTTCTGAAATAACTTCATCGCTCCCATAAGCTTTTCTATTTTTTGTCTTTCCTATTCATTCCTCTAGTTATTCTTCCTGCATAGCTTCTGTATCCTTCTGTAGTAATTTCTGGTGTTTCTGGTTCTAGTGTCGTTTGTTCTTCCTCTGCATAGAAATTTTTTAGGTAGTTAATCCACGTGTTCTTTTCTATGTGTTTGGTTCTATTAGTTCCTTTACCACCGGTCTTTGACCTCTTATGAAACGCCATATTTCCTTTTGCAGACCGTAAAAATCATGTTCCATTTCTTTCGAAAAGCGTTCCTAGTGATCATTTTTTATTTTTCTTACAAGTGCATGTGTTTCGTTTTAATTGTCTTATGTCTAAGTGCATGTATTATGGTATGCCTCTTGTTTTGGTAGACATGTATTTCAGGTAAACTTTTTTCTTTTCTTTACATTTTTCCTTCACTTCTGTACAAAACTATGGAGTTCTTTGTCTTGGGAACGATTTATTTTTATTTATATTTCTTTCACCAGGAACTTCCTTGGCCAAGGCTAAGATATTAGACTTAATTTTTGCCCAGCTTTCTTCGACTCCATTACTTTCTGTGATATATGTGTTTTCTGCTTTTTTCGGTTATTCTTTTTTGGAATAGGTATCTTGTGCAATGATTTAGTAAGATTTCGAATTTTATCGAGTTTTTAATCGGATTTTGCACATTACCAATTTATGATCGCTTTCTATTTCTGCTTATATTAGTGCTCTTACATCCAAGATTTGAGAGGACTGTAACTCTCTATTCGACAGAATATTGTCTATCATAGATATTTGTCCTCTACTGTTTTCAAAAGTGTATTTGTACTGTTCTTTGTGGGGAAAATGTATTAATAATACGTATTTCGTTTATGCTGCGGAGGTCCGTCAGAAGGTTTCCGTTTTCATTTCTGATATTCTCATTATATCGCTGTTTTATTCCTGGAACTATATCATTGCCAACAGGGGCGTTAAAATCACCCATAATGATTATATATTCATAATTTGGGGTCTTGTTTATTACAGTCTGAAGGTGTTCGTAGAATTTTTTCCTTGTGGTGGTATCTCTGTCGAGGTTGAGGTGGTATCTAATAGCTGCATGCAAAGGGGATATTTATGTAGAACTGCAAGGGAGGAAGTTTCAGCATCGCCTCTAGAGCTGCAGTGAGACATGTTGATATTGCCCTTGATATTGATTCCCAGACAGGCTAGCCTGTGCACTTTTTACAGCTTGGCGTTAGCTGTTTATTGTGTTGTTCTCATTTGTTTTCAATTTTGTTTAATTAATTTTAAATGTTATTTATGTAAGTCTATTTTTGATGTATCTTTCTGTATCTTTTCTGTTATATGTTTCATATAAATAAGTTATTTTATTAAACTTTTTGAATAATATTGATTCGTTCTTTATATTGCAATATTCTTAATTAACTCTATTCTAATTACTATTGATCCTTATGATTTTTCATTCTTTACTTTACTCCTATATTTTTTGTGTTATAGTAATTAATTTACAAATCCTTTTTAGATATCGCATCAGACCAAAATATATGCGCAACGTAAAAAATAGAAATTTATCAACAAATATCTTGGGTAAGCCTGTAGCAGTTCCCGTAGGAATATCTCCCTCTGCTTTTCAGAAAATAGCACACCCGGATGGAGAATGTGCTACTGCGAAAGGTAAGTTTGTACAGTTTATCCTAAAATTAACCAGGAATAAAAATTTTAATATATATGGCGTATTTATTTTAGCTGCTCAAGATTCAGAAACCATCTTGATATTAAGTTCACACTCTAATTGTACCTTTGAAGATGTCGCGAAAGCGGCACCAAATGGAAGAAAATGGCTACAATTATATATTTTCCGAAGCAGGTAAGTACTAAGTGAATTTTAAATAATTGATTTCGGGTAATATATGTATAACATGTAATTATTGGCTCAATTTTGTGAAGAAGAAAACATGGCAATTATGAACACATAACAAACTGGAGGTCACCACAGGATAATGAACAAAATTTCATTAGAAATCAGATCGACTTTATTCTAACCAATCTAAGATTTAGAAATTCCATTGAAAGCGTTAAGACTTTCCCTGGAGCAGATGTCCCCTCAGACCACAACCCCCTTGTCTCAAAAATGAAACTGAGGGTAAAAAAGGTAATACAATCCAAAAGTTCTAAGGTGAATACTTAGTTACTCAAGATAAATGAAATCCGTGCTGAGGCTTTAACTTATATCAATAAAGAAATGAAGAAATTAACATCAGAAATAAAAAACACTGAGAATGTGAACATTATGTGGAGCAAAATCAAAGATTCTGTTATAAAAACACAGAAAGAAACTCTACAAAAGAAAACAGAAAGCCGAAAATCTTGGATGACTCAAGAAATACTGGAAATTATGGAACAAAGAAGAAAATATAGAAACAAAAACCCAAATAAGTACAGAGAAAAACATAAATTAATAAGGAACAAAATAAAAGAGGCCAAGGAAAAGTGGATGATGGAAACATGCATCGAAGTGGAAGAATTGCAGAAAAAAGCATGATCATTATAATTTACATAAAAAAGTGAAAGAAATATCTGGAAAATCACGAACAAATACACCTAGCCGATTAATTGACAAAAATATTAAACCGATTAATAACCATCTCAGCTCTCGATTTACAAAAACATAATGTTTTTGAAACGAAGATAAAAAAAACAACAAAGGAACTGTCAATAATTCAAATCTTGAAAAATTGCATCCTGTTATAATAAAGAAACGTTTGGCTCAGAAAAGAAACGCACCTGGACTTTCATGATTGTCTTCCATAAAAGATTGACATTGACTGATGTTTTCCTATTTTTTACAAAAACTGTTTGTTTCATTGGTTTAGTTTTAAGTACTAGTTTTTGATGATAAATGTTTTGGAATATAATATATCAGGCACATATTTTAGTTTTTACACAGTATTTAACTGTAAAATTCATTTTTTTCAATAAAATATTTTGTGACATTCATGGTTTTCTCCTGAGACCCTTTATATACTACTTGTTTTTCTGTAACAATAAAACACTGAAAACTTTGTTTTCAAACTTCCACAAAATTTATTTTAAATCTTATCACTACAGCTGTTTCGGCTGATTGCCTTTCTCAAGTGATCTATTTTGGCTTGGGTTTACAAATTTATAGTCTCTAATGAAATAGGTTGAGGAGGGGAGAACTGTTTGTCTCAAGTTGGTCATTCAGAATTATATCTGTGTTTTTTAATTTGTTGATTTCCATAGATTCTAACAAAGATAGCTTAAGGCCTTTATTTTGAATGTGAAGAATTTTAAATTTGTCATTAAAAGAATGATTATGATCTAGAAGGTGAAGTGCGTATGTCGAATCTGTTTTTCTATTCTTGAAAGCCCTTTTATGTTCTGCTATTCGTTTATCAAAGTTTCTACCAGTTTGACCGATGTAAGTTTTTGGGCAGTCGCTACATTGAAGTTTGTACACACCACTATTTAAGTGTTTTTTATTTTGGCTCTTGTTATTTTTAATATATTTACCTAGGTTGTTATTTGTTCGGAAAGCTGGTTTTATTCCTTTCTTTTTTTATGTGTTTGGCAATTTTTGTTGTTATTTTGCCTGTATATGTAATCGAGCAGAAGGTACTGGATTTTTTCTCTGGTGGTGGAAATACTAATTTCAGGACTTTCTTGTGTAGTTTTTGATTTAACATTTTATTAATTGTTTGTTCGTTGTATCCGTTGTTTACTGCTATTTGCTTAATTATGTTTAATTCTGTCTCGTTTCTTGTTTTTCTGTTTTTTAAAAGTTTATTTTACGTTTTAGGGAAATTACGAAAGATTTTGTAAAAGAAGCAGAAAAAAATGGATACGAAGCATTGGTAGTTACCGTGGATTTTGCTTTATATGGTATACATTTAGGAGATTTAAGAAGCCAGTTTAAGACGCCACCTCACCTAGAGTAAGTATGATAACATAGAGAGTTGCAAAGAAGTCTGCAAATAAGATATTATTTGCAGACCCCATAATTACCCAAAATAAACAGTACCTACTGAAACTGAAACATAGATGTTTCTTAGTGCGCGCTGTCATATTCAAATTAACTAGTATAGACCTGTCAGGTAATCCTTAAACAATTAATTATTAAGGACTAATTGTTAAAAATGGTGTTAAGTACAGAGGAGCAAGTGTTTCTTGTGGAGCATTATTTTCGCTCAGACGGAATCGGCAGACGTAATACTGCAAGTATGCAATACGTGTGTGATCAATTCACAAAAGGGTTTAATAAACGTTCTCCAAGTAAGGCTGTACTTTTGAAGGTTGTTGAAAAGTTTAGAAATACAAATAATGTATTGTGCCAACGACAAGGAAACTCAGGGCGTCCAGGACAGTTAACAACAACGATAACCATGAACATGTTTTTGATCGAATCTTGGAACAACCAAAAGCCAGCCAGACAAGAACAGCGTTGCATCTTGGCATAAAACGAACTTCCTTGCAAATAATCCTGAAGGAGCTGGGTGCATTTTCTGGATTCAGATATATCAACAACTACATCCCAGGGATTATCACAGTAGGGTGGAATATTGTGCCAGAATTCTTGCATTACAGTATGAAAATCCTGAATTTTTGAAAAATGTATGGTTTTCAGACGAAGTACATTTTTATTTGTTAGATGTAAATCGTCGCACAAATCAATTTCTGGGCTTTGCCAGACCAGATGAAGTCCAAGAAGTTCCTTAACATACAGCAAAAGTGAGTGTTTGGTGTGCAGTTTCGGGACACGGAATTATTGGTGCATACTTTATCAAAGAAAATGGTGGTCAAGTCACACTTATCCAACAGAAGTACATACAAATTTTAACACGCTTTATCCCTGATTTACGTCAATTTTGTCGTGCATGTGATTTGGCATTTCGAGATCAATTTTTCCAGCTTGCCAAAATTGCCATACTGCTGTCGCAGTTCGTCAATTTCCTGAGGGACAATATCCAAACAAATTTATTTCACGATTTACTGACTTCCCCTATCTGCACATTCTTCAGACTTAACATCTCCAGACGCATACATTTGGGGCATGGCTAAAACTGTCGTTTTTAACCGGGCACCACAAACCACCAATGACTTAAAGGATGCCGTTAGAGCCTTCTTCGCGGACTTGAGAAAACTTTTATTCCATAACATAACGAGAAATCTGGAATATCGATATGAAGTCTGCCTTGAGAGAGGAGGAGCTCATTTAGAAGGTTCGACAATCATCATAGCTATTCGGACTTTTGAGACAGCTGCTCTGAAAAGTTCATTTGATGTACATCCGTACCACTCTCTCAGGTTACCCAGCCATGACATTTTACGCCTCCCTATGCTTCTCTTTTCTTCGTCCAAATCTTAGATCTTTGTCCAAAGATATTCCCATTTTTTTGTTTTAATTGTATTTAAAATTTCTATTTCTTTATTCATCCTTCTCAGAACCTCTTTGTTTGTGACGTGTTCTGTCCACGATATTTTCAGAATTCTTCTATACACCCACAGCTCAAAGGATTTCAGTTCTTTCATTGATGTCGCATTCAAGGTCCAAGATTCCATTCCGTAAAATAAAGTCGAAACATAGCACCTCGCCAACCTAACTCTTAGTTCCAATTTTAAATCCCTTGTACATAGCACTCTTCTCATTTTGTTGAAATTTGCTCTAGCCTTTTCTATTCTGATTTTGATCTCCTGAATGTAATCATTTGTGGAGTTAATCATTATTTCCAGATATGCATATTTGTCCACTTGTTCGACGTTGGTTCCGTTTATTAGAAGATTCTCGTTATTTCTTTAAGTTTTCGATATTCTCATAAATTTCGTCTTCTTGACATTCATTGTTAGACCATACTCTTTTCCATACTCCGCTATTCTGGTCACCCGTCTCTGAAGATCTTCAATATTTTCGGCTAATATCACAGTATCGTCCACATATCTAATGTTGTTAATGGGAACTCCATTTACCTTTGTTACAGCTGTTTCACCCTCAAGAGCGTTTTTCAGGATCTCTTCGGAGTAGGCATTAAAAAGAATTGTCTACAATACGCATCCCTGTCTCACTCCACATCTTATTTCAATTTCTTTTGACAGCTGTTCGTTAACACGTACTTTTGCTGGCTGTTTATAGTATAAATTTGATATGATCCTGAGGTCTTTGTAGTCAATCTTCTTTGATTTCGGGACATTCATTAATTGTTTATGCCGTACTTTATAGAATGCTTTATTATAGTTAATACAACACGCGTATATATCTTGATTGACATCCAGGCATCTTTGTATCAGTATATTAAATGAAAAAAGAGCTTCGCGCGTTTCTAGGTCTTTGCTAAAACCAAATTGTGTATCATTAACGTCTATGTCCAGTTTGTGATTTATTCGGTATACGCATAAGAATTCTTAGATGTTACATCTTTAGTGTCCTCCTCTATCGAGTAGAAAGCTGGAGCCTTACTGGAGATGCCATAAAACGATAGGAAGCATTTGAAATGTGGTGCTATTGACGTATGTTGAGAGTCTCATATACACACCACACAACTAACATAACTATTTTCCAGAGGCTAAGAAAAGACAAAGAAATTATTAACACCATAAAAAAACAGAAAATTGGCTTACTTCGGCCACATCATGTGTAATGACAAATACCGACTTCTACAGTTGATTCTACAGGGCAAGATTGAGGGTAAGAAAGGCCCTGAACGTAGACGTATATCCTGGCTGGCCAATCTTAGAAAATGGACTGGTCTAACGTCAACTGATTTATTTCGAGCTGCTGTGAATAGAATAAGATGAGTCAATGTGGTCGCCAACATCTCTAGAAGATAGGCACATTTAGAAGAAGAAATTTGGTAATTACAAAAATTTGTCCTATAAAGGAGCTTTTTAAAACATAAAAGCAGACAGGGTGTTTTAATGAAAACAAACAATATGGACTATGCCAGACTTGCGTGAATTACCTTGTTAGAATAAATTTATATTTAAAGTCCGAGTCCTAGTGTTTTTTATAATTTTCTAAAGACAAACAATTTTATTCCATAAGAGATTTTCACGCTGTATTAATATGTTTTAGGTCGATCAACTTTAACAAATATAAAGATGGCAAGAATGCAATAAACTTTATTGATTTTTCGGATCCAGAAGCCGAATGGAGCTACATTACTTGGTTAAAAACTATCACTAAGCTACCAATCGTAGTCAAAGGGGTCTTGACAGGTGAAGACGCTATTGCAGCAGCAGATGCAGGAGCTTCTGCTATTCTCGTATCGAACCATGGCGGTAGACAACTAGATACTCTTCCCTCAGCGGTATGTTGTTATTCGATAAGAAAGAAAATAATAGCTTTAATATAAAATATTTCAGATAGAAGCATTACCAGAAGTAGTAAAGGCAGTAGGAGATAGAATTGAAGTATACATGGACGGAGGAGTCAGAGATGGCACTGATGTATATAAAGCTCTAGGACTGGGAGCTAAAATGGTGTTTGTTGGTAGACCTGCATTGTGGGGTTTAACTCACGATGGAGAAAAAGGTGTTAAGAAAATTTTAGAGATCCTAAAAAAGGAACTAGAAAATGCAATGGGAATTACAGGTAAGGCGTATTTTTTATATTATATTTAAAATAATTTTAATATGATCGTTATTCTGCTTATTTTAACTCTTTCAATCTTTTCTTGTCAACGGCATACGAATACGGAAAGAAATGGAAAACCATTGTATTAAAGGTCCCCAAGGATATCCCAAGAAAGACAAGGATGGAAAAGACATTGCAAGCAACGGCCCCTAGTCCGTGGCAGGCCTTAAGTGGCCAAGGGGTGCTAAGAATCTCCGCGAAGAAAAACAATGCTAGGAACCACCCGAAAGTGGGAAAAACCCCAAAGCTAAAACTGGGTACTTGGAACGTTAAAAGTCCTTACAGCTGGTAAACTAGACAACATAATACAAGAAATGGAACGATGCAACCTAGACATCATAGGACTTGGCAAAATCAGATGGCCTAACAGTGGTAAATGTACTAAAAAAAAGCGATACTATATTACTCAGGAAATAACCTACCCCATCATTATAACGGAGTTGCATTACTAATTAACACAGCCTCAAACAAATCAGTAAGTAACTTCGTAGCATACTCAGATAGGGCAGCACTACTACAAGTCCAAGCCAATCCTGTTGACCTTAACATTCTACAAATCTATGCACCAACCTTGGGCAAGCCTGAAAATAAGTAAACATTCTACAGAAGATTAAGAGTTAATGAAACTGATCAAGAAGACCAGACTCTTATAATCATGGGAGATTTCAATGCGAAGATAGGGCGAGGACGTGTTGAAGATGTCGTGGATGACTTAGGTTTGGGAGATCGAAATGAGAGAGGTGATATGCTAAGCCAGTTCTGTCAAGAAGAAAAATTAGTCATTGCGAATACCTGGTACAAACTGCCACTTCAGAGACTCCACTCCTGGCAGTCTCCCCAACATACGCATGACAACTTTGTAATAAATTAAATTGATTTTTCATTGATTAATCAGAGATACAGAAGTGCATTGCAAGGAGTAAAAACGTACCCTGGAATATATATCGGATCTGATCAAAATCCCATAGTAGGAAAATTGAAAATTAAGCTCAAGAAAATTAAAAGGAAATCGGCCAGTATAGAAGACAAAAAGGAATTGTATTAAAAAAGCTATCGTAACCACCACCAAGTCTCTGATCGCCTCCCAAAAGTACAAAAAGAAGAATTGGGTGACTGACGAAATATTATCAATGATGGACGACCGTAGATTATTTAAAAACAAAGACCGAACCAAACATCAGCAGATTAACCGACAAATACGAAAAGAGTGTCGCAAAGCTAAAGAACAGTGGCTGCTAGACAGGTGTGCAGAAATGGAGGAATTGGACGAAAAACGGATCTACTTCATCATTGGAGAAACTACACACAGCAATTATACTCAGACAACACTAGAAGAAACTCTGAAAGTGAATATAAAAGTGAACCCTCCCCCAAAATATTGAAGTCAGAAGTTGTAAGGGCAATCAAACAGAGCAAATGGGACAAGCACCAGGTCCAGACGACATGTACATAGAGGTTCTAACAATGTGAGGGGGAATACATATATACGCCTTGGTAGATCTTTTTAATGACATTCATGGGTCCGGTCAAATACCACAGGATTGGCTTCAGTCAACCTTTATATCAATCCCAAAAAAGCGAAACGCTTATAGTTGCTACCAATTTCGAATGATCAGCTTATTAAGCCAGGTCCTAAAACTCTTCTTAAAGATAATTCACACAAGAATATACAACAGATGTGAAAGAGACATTAGCCCCACATAGTTCGGTTTCAGACAAGGATTTGGCACAAGAGAAGCACTTTATAGCTTAACTGTCCTACTTTAGAAATGCAGAGATCAGCAAAAAGATGTCTTCCTATGCTTTATAGATTACCAGAAAGCTATCGATTGTGTTAATCATTCAGAATTAGTAAGATTGCTCCAGGAACGTTCGATAGATGAGAATGACCTTAAAATCATAAAGAACCTTTATATGAATCAAGTGGCATCTGTGAGAGTAGGACTGGAATCTATCATATTCCTGGAATCATATTTCTTATTCGAAAAAGGTGTACGACAGGGTTGTGTTCTGTCACCCTTCCTTTTTAATCTTTACTCTGAAACTATTTTCGATAGAGCCTTAAGTGACACTAAAGATGAAATCAAAATCAACGGACAGCCTATTAGTAATATTCGCTATGCTGATGATACAGTCATAATAGCTGATAGACAAGAAGCGCTACAACGACTAATAGATAGAATAAACAATGAAGGAGAACGACTGGACTTGAAGATTAATATATAGAAGATGAAGGTAATGGTAAAGTAGAACACGAAATATGCAATTAAATTAATATAAGAGTAAACAATAAGAACATCCAAAGGATTCCCAAGTTCAGATATCTCGGTAGTTGGATAACTGAAAATCTAGATCCAGACATAGAGATACGTAGCAGAATTGTGCAAGCTATAACAGCATTTACTAATATGAGAACGTTGCTAAGCAACAGCAACCTTAACTTAACGCTTCGATATCGTCTTGTAAAATGTTACATTTACTCCATACTGCTATATGGTGTAGAAACCTGGACCATAAAGGCCAATGTGATGAAACGATTGGAGGCCTTTGAATGCGGGTATTGTGAGTATTGGCTACTTAAAATTCCCTGGAGAGATCACATAACAAACGTTGAAGTATTAAATCGAATGGACAGAGAACGAGAATTGCTGCCAATAATAAAAAGAAGAAAAACTGCTTATCTGTGTCATTTATTTCGAAATTCCAAGTATCAGTTCTTAAAGCTTAGTATGAAAGAGAAGATAGAAGAAAAACGGGGCATCGGAAGAAAGAAATACTCATGGCTTAAAAACAGAAGGGATTGGACAAACCTCAATGCCCATGCACTCTTTAGAGCCACACAAGATTGAGAGGAGTATGCCAAAATTGTCGCCAACATCCACTAATTGAATATTTTCTTTCATCTCTATCTTCATTTGCATGCAAAATGTTTTAAAACTTTTTATCAACATATTAAAACATATTTCATACATATGTATCAATCAAGAAATGACATTCGATTAGGCTGTAACAACTAAGACGGTAATTTCAAAATTGGTAACATACCGGAGTACCACCACTAGTAATATGAGTTGACGTAAGTTATCATCTATAGTAAAATTCATTAAGCGGTGCAGGAAAATATAAACATTAAATCGTGTCCGAACCGGTATGAACCGCCGATAACATCGCCAGACGAAATAAAGATGGACATTCCGGTTAATTTTTAAATATTTTTGAAGAACTGTTACTTGCGTTTATGCATAAAATATTCATTAATTTTATAAATCGGAGTATTTTTTCACTTACTTTGTATTCAGTGATAACATTAATTTATTTACTATGCAATAAACACGAATATTTGAGAAAAGAAAAAAATAATAATAAAGTGTCATAATTATACTGTTACTTATCGGAACGAGTAGACTCATTTGGAACATCTTTAACAATTATCTGTTAAATTTATTGTTGTTTATATGCCCTGCACCGCTTAATGGAATAAGGTATAGAGAGGCTACTTACCATCCACAATCATGGTTATGTAACACCTCTATTATTGAATTGCTTATTAAAATCACAGTACTAGATGAGTACACAATTTAGTGTTAAAAGTACCTAAACACTAAAGATTGAGCATAAAAATAAGACACAATTTTATCTCCAAAATTAATTTTCTATTAAAATAATTAATTTCTTCTGTTGTTTCAGGATGCTCAAAAATAACCGATATAAATAAAGATCGAGTTGTTCATGAAAGCTACTACGCAAGGCAATGGTGAGATTTCAGTATAAACATTTTTGATACCAGTATAGACACAGCAATCATCGACGTCGAGACCAAAAAATTTACAACTATTTAAGAAAAAACTTTAGTCTTTAATTCATTAAATACAAAAATACATATTTTAGTTTTAATCCATTTCCATCAATAATAATTAAGCATAGTGTAATTGTTCAGTAAAAATAAATAAACTTGTTTTTGCTTATTATTTGTTTCTTTATATCTGCCTCTTAAAAGATACTGTCCCTTAAAAGATCTTTTTAAAATAGTGACGAAGGCAGGCCAAACTAAGACAGTTATCAAGGTTATAGCGAATATTTATAAACTCGCAATAAGTTATGTTAAAATGTGTAGCGATATCGCAGACCCTTTACTACCAAATGATTTAAACAAGGATGTTGTTTATCTCCAAAGTTGTTTAAAAAATATATTAATAGAAGTTGACAAACTGGACAAGGAAAATCCACAGAAATGGGAATACATTATGGCAACGTGATAGCTAGTAGCATGAATTGTTCTTCGAAAATCAAGTAAATGTAGCAAATAACGAGAAAGACATGGATTATATGATTCGAAGACTAACTGAAGAATATGAAAATTAACGTTAATAAGATCAAATTTCCCATAATAAAGGACAAACAAGGAGATCCTAACTTTCTATGAGAAAGAAACAAAAAAATGTGAAGAAATATCTAGAAAAAATAATAGCAAAAGAAGGAACATCTAAAAGAGACGTAAATCAAAAAGTACAACAAACCAGGAAAGGACTACAAACACTAAACTCAAATGAAAATAGAGAAAAGCAAATGACGCTGTAGAAATGGACTATATAAGAAGAGGAGGAAACCAAAAACCAATGTACTTACCTTTGACGACATAAACATAAAATATTAAAAAAGAATTTAACAATAGATTAAAAAACATCGGAGAACAGCTAGAAGATCCAGAAGAACTATGGAGTGAATTTAAAAACCAAGTTAACAAAATCACCACAAACAATGATTGCTTATAGAAAAAATTTAATCAAGAAAAATAAATGGATGACAAACGACATCTTGAAATTAATGGAACAACGTTTACTGATAAAATCTAATGAAACATAGACACCTGCAGAAAATAATAAAAAAGGAGATCAAATTAGTCAAAGAAAAATAGATGAGAGAAAGGTGTGACGAAATAGAGGATGTAATATCTAAACACGACTTATTTACTGAGCACAAAAAACTAAAAGAAATGAGTAACATATTTAAAAAAACCTCCTCTGTACTCGTTAAAGATAATAACAAAATTATTGTAAATGGGTACGAAATAAGAATGACAGGAAGATGACAGGAATAATATTGCCGAATTCTACCAAAACTATACTGACTGCCCAGAAATTATAAAATGCGAGGTAGAACACGCTATAAATAATGATAAAATTGGAAAAGCTTGTGGTCCAGATTATACACCAACTGAGTTGCTGAAACTAATAGAGGATGATAACATAAAAGAAGTAGTAAGCCTTTTTAATTTAATATATAATACCGGAGTGATTCCTACAGATTGGCTCAAATCTATATACCTAAAAAACACAATTTGAGAAAATGCTCAGAATATCGACCAATTAGTCTAATGAGCCACACTCTTACTAAAAATACTTCACAACAAAATTAGACGCAAATGCGAAGAAGATCCCCAATTTGGTTTTAAAGAAGATGATCCCCAATTTGTCGTAAAAATTGAAGATAACTACACCGATGTAATCTCCATACAACGAGGAGGTAGACGAGGTTGCGTTTTGTCGCCAACATTGTTCAATATTTACTCGGACCTGTTATTTAAAAAGACACTTGACAGACAACCATACGGAATAAAAATCAACGGGAAACTACTTAATGTGATTAGATATGCACACAATATAGTAATTCTGTCAGTTAATATTAAATGTCTCCAAATTCTGCTTGATCGTATTCACGAGGTAGGAGAAGAAATAGGCAGTAAAATAAACTCAAACAAAACCAAATTTTTAGTGTTTGGTCGTGACCCACATCCCGATGCAAAGCTTCAATTAAATGGAGTCCAAGTTCAGAAAGTTCACAAAATGACATAATTGGGAACTTTTATAACGAACCAACTAGATCCAGACATAGAAATAAAACGTGGAATACCAATGACTAAAACTACGTTGGAATCAAACAACATCAGATTTAGTAGATGGTGTGGAATCACAAGCTCTCAATATTAAAAGAGGAGTACCGCAGGGATGCCTCTTGTCACCCCTGCTTTTTAATGTTTACTCCGAAAGAATTTTCAGAAAAGCACTTTCTGAAAAACAAGAAGGAATACTTGTGAACGGCGAAGTCATCAATAATTTGCGATATGCGGACGATACAGTACTCCTAGCTTCTAGTCAAGAAGATCTACAGACACTACTTGATAGTGTCGTTGAGAGTTGTAGGAAGGCAGGTCTGGATCTTAACATACGGAAAACCAAAATACTCGTAATAAGTAAACAACAGCATATAAAACCGTCTATATATGTAAATAATACCAAACTTGAGCAAGCTGATAAAATCGTTTACCTTGGACAGCAATTAAATTGTAACGCAGAAAGTCACGGCGAAATTAGATCTAGGATAGAGCTGACTCTTTAGAAGGATGTCCAAGGTGTTATGTAACAGAGACCTAAAATTGGCATTGAGGATTCGCCTACTTTGCTGCTACATGTTCTCGGTCTTACTTTATGGTGTCGAGTCCTGTACTGTGAATAAAATCGATCTAAATCGCCTTGAGGCTTTCGAAATGTGGTGCTATAGAAGAATTTTAAAAGTTTCCTGGGTGGAGAAGATTCGAAACTCCACAATACTGGAACGTCTCAGCAAGACTACTGAGATCATAAAAAGCATCAAGCAGAGAAAGCTAGAGTATTTTGGACATGTAATGAGAGGTCCCAAATATAGGTTGCTACAAAATATCATGCCAGGAAAAATAGCAGGCAAACGCAGTCCAGGACGAAGAAGAACCTCATGGTTGAAGAACTTGCGAGATTGGTATGGTGTTGATACAAGCATGCTATTTAGGCTGGCAGTGAATAAAATTAAGATAGCTATGATGGTAACCAACGTTCTGAAAGGACATGGTATATGAAGAAGAAGAAAACTACTTTTATGAAAATGAAGTCATTTCTTTGCAATAATCATCTCAGTTTAGAACTAAGATAAAGAATGGTTAAGTGCTATGTTTGGTCCGTATTTTTGTATAGGGCAGAAGTGTGGACGCTAAAAGTATCGATCATGAACAAAATTGAAGCATTGGAAATGTGGGTTCATAGATGAATGTTGAAGATACCATGGACAGCAAATAAAACTAATGAAGAAGTACTAAGGAGCGTCAACAAAGATAGAGAACTGCCAAAGACTGTTAAACATCGAAAAATGTCTTATCTGGAACATAAAGTAAGAGGAAGTCGATATAAACTATTACAACTGATCCTTAAAGGCAAAATAGAGGACCGTAGAGGTGTAGAAAAAAAAACAAGTTTCTTGTTTAAAAAACATTTGTGAATGGACTCAGATATCAAATGCAGGAACAAATATTCCATATTGTAGAAGATCGACAAGCCTTCGCAATGATTATTGCGAACGTCGAATAAGAAGAAGAAGAAAAAGAAGAAGAAGTATATATAGGCAAAGATAAACACGCATTAAATTATGCTCCAAGGGATAGAAAACTGGGAGACAGACCATAATTAGAATGAAGAGAAGGAATCAAAGAAATATACTTTACTTCACTAACCAGATTTAGATTTGTACCATTTAAGTTTAGAGGACTTAATCACTTTAAATTCTCCCTTCTAATAATTTTTTTAGGTTAAGCACTAAATTTGAAATCCATTCTGTAATTACAGTCAGAGTCTATTGGAGAGTAGCTCTGACTGTGTCATTAAATTTACCGTAGTTTAAGATGATCAGCTTCCATTCATGTTGCCTATCAATGACCAGATTTTGCAAAAGAGAAGATTAGTTAGGTAGCCAGAAGCTGATCTGCGGATAGTCTCTGGCTAGCTGTGCTGACGCTGTGTTTCCCAGTAAAATATCAGAGAAAGTGCCTGGTGATTTATCTTTAGCACTAGTTCATCTTTAGTTCATCTTTATACCGAAGATTATGTTCATATTTATTTGAAATACTTAAATTTGCAAGGTTGGACATAGTCTTTAGTTTTTTGTACATATCTTAAGGAATGCTGTGCTAACGACTTGTGAGCTCAGGACTGAGTAATAACTGAGGTTTGAAACTTTATGCCTTTGTCAAAAACTTTTTCTGGCAATTTTGTACCTTGTGTTATGTAGGTATAGATCTCTGAAATTTTCCTCCCAACGATTTGTCGTGATAGAGTTTGTCGTATATAATGTATGATAACTACAGGCTTTTTAAGACATTGGATACATAGAAAAAACATAAAATCTTATAAAAGTAGCTTGTATAAAAAAAAACAAAGACTGGACAAGAAAAGGTCAAGTCCCTGACACCGATAAGGCAGAAGTCATTTTTAATAGTGACTATATTCTTCTTCTTCGCGTACCATATCAGAATTATCTGACGTTATCGATCACCATTGCGAAGGCTTCTTGATCTTCTGCAATATGGAATAATTATCCCGCATTCGATATCCGAGTCCATCCACGAATGTTCCTCAACCAAGAAACCCGTTTTCTTCCTACACCTCTACGGCCCTCTATTTTGCCTTTAAGGATCAGTTGTAATATTTTATATCGACTTCCCCTTACTGTATGTCCCAGATAAGACATGTTTCGATATTTAACTGTCTTTAGCAGTTCTCTATCTTTGTTGATGCTCCTTAGTACTTCTTCATTAGTTTTCCTTGCTGTCCAAGGTATCTTCAGTATTCGTCTATGAACCCACATTTCTAATGCTTCAATTTTGTTCATGATCGATACTTTTAGCGTCCACACTTCAGCACTATACAAAAGTAGGTACGGACTAAACATAGCACTTAACCATTCTTTGTCTTAGTTCTAAACTGAAATGATTATTGAAAAGAAATGGCTTCATTTTCATAAAAGTAGTTTTAGTTATTGCTATTTTATGTTTTATTTCTATGTCTGGATCCAGTTGGTCCGTTATTACAGTTCCCAAATATGTCATTTTCTCAACTTGGACTCCGTTTAATTGAAGCTTTACATCGGGATGTGGGTCACGAC